CAATGTCTTTCCTTAAAATCATGAGGTAACAGTCTCCACCGCCAAGCAAGTGTGCTGCCTCCAGGCTACATTGTGTAGAGTGAAAAATTCAACACTCCTCTGGTTCAAGAAAGGCGAACTCCAAGATCCACATCTAAGCACAGCACATAGGAGGAGGATATGAACTCAGTGTTATAAGTTCGCAAGTAACGAATGTGTGCATTGGCATATGTGCTGTTTTTTTGTGCGACACACGTTTTATATTATATAACTTAGTTAACATGTTGTTTATGTGTGTAAAATATTTAATACCTCAGGGAAAAAAACGCTAATAAATGCACCATGGTGTCAAACAGCTGAGCATGAGAACACCCACCCACAAACAGATGTTTAGACTAGCATTTGCAGCATTTCCAAAAATGTTCAAAGACTGTGAAAAATGCAACTGAATATAAAAATGAAAGTAAATATAATGACCTGGTAATAATTTATAGGCTATTTAATAAATAAAATATAAATAAAACATATTAGATATTATTTAAAAAGATATATGCTCTTTTAAAAATGAGACATCAGCATCTCATTTTAAAACAAAAGGGAGGGGCTTGTTAACTACTGTGTTGAGCCACCTCTTCTTTTTAAATATGTGGGAAGGAAACAAGACGACCATTTGCTGTAATTTTGAATGCAAACTACATTTAAACTGGATTGGATGACTTGATTTGGTAATCTTGGAATTCAGCTACTGAAAAGCTCTTTTGTAGTATTGTTATTATTAATAAATGGAATTGCAACTAAAAGTGGGAACTTATGGATACAAATGCAACTGGAATTATTATAATAACTATTTTTTATTTTAGTGATTAGTTTTCTTGTGCTAGTTGATCAGAAAATAGAAAACAACATTGTTCTGTGACTTACAGCTGCTGCTGATGTGACACTGACTTCAGGGCTGTTTGTGCATACAGTAAAGAGGTGATGTGAATACAAAACAAGGCCTTTGGTCACACAGAAGTTGCTAAGCCAAGCATATCCTGCTATTAGAATTATTTTGGGGAGTTAAACCTGCAGGGATCGGTCCCAAGGTCAGGGAGAGTGCTGAGACTGGACACTCTGACTGCCTATGCTTGCATCGATAGCATTCAATCAATCTTTACACGTATGCATTTACAACATGGCCTCTAAAATACTTTTCCTTGAATCACATGAAAGTTTTTAAAACCCACTTAGTCCTTATGTAAGTAATATTATGTAATATATAAAAACTGTGTTTTGTAAGAGAAAATACAGTGTAGTTCTAAAGTCTTGAGTTACTCCCATCTCTTTGTATTTTGTAGGAAAATGAGGTTCAGTGATTTATTAGAATGTGTACATTCACACATGAAAGTACAGTACAGAAGACAAAAACAGAGCGATTGAAAGTCAGTATTTGGTATGACCAACTTTTAAGGTCTTTAATCCTTTATTTCTCCACTTTCCGTATATTTTATAATGACACAATGCCAAGATATGCCACATTTTCAGCTAATAGCTTTGGGAATCACCTTGTTGGTGCAAATGCATGTCAATGTTAGTTTTGTCATTTGTTTCATAGATTTGGTTGAAGAAATGGGAAGAAATTATATGCGTATGCACCAGTAACTAAAAATGCAATTTAAAACTAGTGCTTTACTGAGTTGTCTGATATGTCACTTGTTCTCTCCTTTAGTTAGGTGCCTTTTTATGCTTGGATGATTCATAGGTCCAGGTTACGTGGGTTAACAAACAAACATTCTTCTTAAAATGGCCAAATAAAAATGTGTGGAAGCAGCAGCAGATGTCCAAATTTCAAAACTTTGAAAGACCTCCAAAAAGCCTGAAAAAATATTGCTCAAGACTACTTTAATATCGGACTCCAGCAAAGCAATGAGTGGTGACTCAAGACATTTGTACAATACTGTAATTAAAATGTTTCCTTTAGTTATGAATCATATTTCATGTGTGAGAAATTGTGTGGCAGAAATTATATACTTAAACTAAGGAAAAATGTGAAGTGTTGAGCTTTAAAGCATTTAGGAAGATGCTTCAATAATACCTAAATAAAAAAATAATAATCATATGAATATATGACACTGTTAGACACTGACACTGTTAAGGAATTTATTAGTATTTGGTGTCATCTTGTCTTCAGGGTTCCCTTTATTTTTGTTTTAATGAGTCTGTTTTCAGGCCAAACAGTTAAAAATGCTGCTTTTACTGGTAGACTTAAAGTGATCTTTGATGTGGATTGTTCCCGTAACGAAACAACTAACTCCACACTGCATTCAAAGAGAAGCAAGTTTATAATGGTTTCTAGCTGTCTCTCCTAACTAAATCATGTCTGATGCATGTCTCTGTAGGTTGTCATGGTAGTGTTAAGAGCTTGAAAAGATATGGCAACTGCCTTCCATTTTCAAACTCTTAAGACCATGTCTGATGTATGTTTGTTTGTTTGTCTTTCAGCTACATAGCATATTACTTCATGCACATTTTGCATATGCATTTAAGGCTGTTGCATTATGGTTTTAAATGAGGTGAAAAGCTGAAGGTTAAGATTAAGATGTCATTCATTACATTAAATTAATCATTTAATGATACCATTATGTTACTCATGGGATTCTGTGTTCCTTTCTACCTAACTGGTTTACATAGTTCTGCCTAAACACCTGTTTTATTATAATATAGTCATTCATACACAATTAAAATGTAAGTGATATGTAAATTTAATTACAATTGCAAGTCCAAATGCTTAAAAATAATAAGATGCTTCATGATTCCTGAGCTGGATAAAACTGATGACTCCACATTTTTATTTTAAAGTAATTAATTGTCTAGCTTCTTTTATAATCTCTAGTTCACTATTTTATTCATCAGCTTTTACTATCCTTCAATTTCTGCTTTTACTGTTTCTTACCCTCTATTTCTTCCAGGTGCAGCCTTTTTTGACTTGATGACAGTATTTCATCCCTGTCTTTCCTCACTCTTTTTTGCTCTTGTGCAGAACTAACTTTAATGATGGGACCCATGGTCGTGGCTGTTTTACAGATTTTTTTAGTCTGGCTGGAACTAAGCTTTTAGCCACTTTGAGCTCTGACAGGAAATGGCATCCTCCACACTTCCTAACCGTCCGTATTCAAGGTACTGCCAAAACCCAGACAGCTATGGTACCTGTGAAGGGTGAGGTAGTGGAAAATTGTAGCTGACCCAAAATCTGTTTTGGTCTTTGGGGAAAAAAATACTCCATTATGTCTTCGGTTTCAGATAAAACATTCCCAATGACAGTGTGCAAACATGAGAAAAAAGTAAAAGTAAACAGAATGTACTTTATTTGCTGATAGATGTGATAGTTACTGAAATATTACAACATGGCACTCTTTGCACGATATGGTCTTTTGAATGAATTTTTTTTTTTGTGGTAATAATGTTACGCAATGGTATAAATTTCCTGACAAGAAAATCATTGTCTAGACTTTATTTCTTTATTTCAGTGCCTAGGGAAAGGTTCTAAAAGCACAACACTCATGTGTGAAAACCTTGTTTAAAGTAAATGAGCTTCCAATAAGCCTTGTGGCCTCTTCTCCCAAACTCTTCCTCCACTAATCATTGCCTGACTGTCATGGTGCTTGTATTGGTGCCTTGGGTGGGTGCCTGGCGAGAGGTCATGTTGGATTAGAAAGCACCCTGCGTGATATAGGTTACTGCACTGTGTTACTAGCAGGGTGCTGGGTTGTGGGGGTGGAGCACAAGTACACACACAGACACACAGATAAACACACACACACTCGCAAAACCACAGACAGATGAGTCACACCTGTAACAAGAGCTGCATCTACTGTTCCGGTGCTATAAATGACATCATTAATCTTTTTGTTTTTATTGCTTCCACTGCTGGTAGCCTATTAGCAGATGTATCATTATGTTTATTTTTGGAGCAGATAAAAGCCTCAGCTAGCAGCTGCAATGTGTACTGCTTATAAAGACAATTCAGTGCTAAAACGCTTCAAAGGTTTAAAATGTCTGATAATCTTGGATTATTTACAAAACTGAAGAAAAATAAACTTTCCAAGCAAATGTCATGTAGCATTTCATATGTATTTAAATATAGAGTGGAAATCCAACTCTTTGTCTTAAAGTGATACCAGTACTCTAGTGCAAAACCTGGCATTGCATCTGTTTTTCTCCCAGGAGAGCATTTTATCGACTCATCACTTAAAAGAAATCTAGATGCCGCCATTGGGGGGCACTGCAATGCAAAATCTTTTTCATTTGTGATTCAGCGAGACCTGGAAAGAGTCTACAGAGCTATTAAAACTAACCTCAAATATGTAATCAGTAAAATATATACTTTTCTTATGAGTCATACTTTATATGCTTTTAAATGTTATTTTAGAAGCTTCAAATACTGTTTTTCCCCGTCTCAGTCTGACTACCATTCTGTGTCATAGGTTGATTTTTGTAGTCTGTCTGTAACCATGGCAGCTGCAGAAGAAGAAAAAAAAATGTTTTTGTCATGTAGTGAAATCAAAAAAGAAAAAAAGAAAAACAGGAGATCAGGGCAAATAACACTTTAACTGTTCCGTTACATGAGCAAACCTGTCCTAAATGACTTCAAACTTCATTAATATGACCCTATTGTCATGACATGAGGTCAGCATTTATCTTGCTTCATTAAGCCAGAGACAGATTTCATACGAAAAGTCTCACAGTGATGGTCTGGGGTCATTTTCAAAGCAGGTTTTCATGAATAATTGATGGCTGGTTTAGCAGATTAGGAGAGGTCAAGCCTAGGTGAAGAAACAGATGTCGCATGATGTTCCGAATGCATATGGACAGTGCAGAAGGGAAAATGTTGTAAATATAGACCGTTTTTGTCTTATTGTTAGCAATATATGTTAACCAGCTGTAGGCTGAGTAAGAATCAACAAACAAGTAAAAAAATAAAGGTAAAGAAGATGAATATTTGGAGCATAGCAATGAATGAAAAACAGTTCTCGGTTTAAATCTTTGTTTAATTTAATCACATTAAATGGTGAAAAGTTGCTTGTTCATTTATTTTTCTTTGCTTGTGTATTTCACAAACATATGGTCCCAGTTCAGTAGTGATCCATTTACACACAATAAAAGTGTCAAATATTACATTTGCTAGAGGAGTGGCAGTGTCACATGGCCGTCTGAGCAGGAAGGAGTGTTTCGCATCCACATATCTTCTCAAGAGCAAATCAAAATAATATTAAATAAATATATTAAATATATATTCTATACATATATTTTTTTATACTTTGTTTTCATATACATGCATTATTTTAACATGCAAGGTAATTATAATGTTGCACGTTGCATTAAAGCTTAAATAAAACGCTTAAACGTATTAAACTTGCGAGCATACTCCCACTGGGCAATGGCAAAAATTAATCAAACAAATAAATTAATAAATCCATAAGCATCATCAATCGATCTGCGCGACTACAGTTTATTTCTTAATCAGTCTTTGTGGATTTGTTTGCATCACATCAGTTGCTTTATTTGCAACCCTGTATTAACCTCTTAAGTACTACAAAAACAAAGCTTCAGATTTTATACTTACTTTTTAGGAAAGATAAGAAAGACTGATTTGGAATGATTTTTTTTATACACAAATGGTCACAATGTGTGTGTTTTTTTAAGTTAAATATAACAATTATAGTAATATATAATGACTCTCAAAATCATTTTGCATGGGTAGGTTTCACATTTCTTTAAGTTCACTTTGATAGTTAAGAAACTTGTGACGGTGTGTGTGTGCGCGTGTGTGTGTGTGTGTGTGTGGGGGGGGTGTGTCGATAATACAAGATCATTTGAAGATAATCACAAATATATAGACCAGTAAATCACATTAAAGAAGAGGAAGGAGAAAGGGAAGAGAGCTCTCGAGTACAGGTCAACTCTTTTGGCAGCAGAGGGGATGACCGGCTTTGGGGGAGGAGGTTTCTTGTTGTTCTTTGCTTGGGATTTGCCGAGACCAGAACCAGTATTGATGGCCTTCCCGTAGCAGTCAAAGTTTGACAGTTCAAAGTCCCGTGGGAGTGAACCCACAATGCTGAAATCATTGGTCCTCAGGTCTGATTTAGAGGTGCATACCTTCTTGCAGCGGGTCTCAGCAACCTGGGTGGACAAAAGCACACACAGACACAGACCGACTTGATTATTGAATTCTGCATCATTTCTGTCTAAAAATACGCTTATCTGTGTGAAACATCTGAGCCATGATAAGATTAGAGTAATATTCCGAAAGCGCTACGGGCAGCCTCTAAGGCAGAGTAGCCACAGCAAAGTGGTTCAAAACTGGTTGAGTGAGCAACAGACTGACTTTACAATCCATAAAGGCTTGTAGCTTTATCAGTGGCCCCAAGATTATTCCACCTGTACAGCAAGTTCTTCAGTTAATTTAAGACTTTAAACCAATGAAACCATACCTCTACTGCGTTATTCTGCACTGTAGTGTATTGTAGCTTGGTAGAAATTAAATAAGGATGGTTAGCTGCAAAGTTCACACTGGAACACTATTCCCATGTTGACCAAAGTTAAGTTATTAGAGCAGACAGAACTCATCTGCTACTTTAGTTTAAGTTCTGCACATCTTTCCTCATGCCTGTCACTTACCTCTTGCTGCACAATCAGTCATTCTCTACTTGTTTAGTAGCTGCCAAAAGTGTTTTCTATTACATCCAGTCACTTGAGCCAAAAACATGCTCCACCAGGAAACCCAGAGTCCTGCCATTTATTTCGATGCTGAAGCACGGCTGCAAGCCAAGCACACCCTGAGTGGAAGTGGCCTTTCCCAGCGAACAATGCACAGGAGCAGTTATAATGGAGCTGATCAGTCTATACCAGCTAGGGGTGCAACGATATTCGTATCGATATTGAACCGTTCGATACAGTGCTTTCGGTTCGGTACGCATATGTATCGAACAATAAAAATTTTTTCAAATTTTTTTTTTTCAATTTTTTTCAATTTTTTTTTTTTTTTTGTGTCCCGTTTGGATCTATAGCCATCAGAATTGTTGTCTTGAGGCCAAGAAAGATGCCAAGAGGATTTATTTTAAGTGGATCATCATATTGGTCCATTTGATTGACCTTTATTATAATTATGAATTTATTTTATTTTCAGTTGCAAACGGGACAGACATGACTGTGGGATAGGACAGGGGGAAAGAATGAAAGAAAGAGGGGGAGAGAAAGAAAGAAAACCAAAGGGAGAAAAAAAAAGAACAATACAAAATTTGTAATTTATTTATCAACTTTCCTTCTGACGATGCTGTCTGTGTTGAGCGCTCAGTGAATCTGCATTTGACTACTCCGCCTAGGCTCGAGAGTGCAGCCTAGGCGGAGTAGTCGAACGCAGATTCACTGAGCACTCAACACAGACAGCATGGTCAGAAGGAAGAGCGCAGGGCAAGCTAGCGAGACAGAAGTGGACCTCCCCACCCTCATTCAGATCTGGCGTTTGGAATTATTTTGGTTTTCATGTGACGTATGACCCTGAAGGTAAGCGAGTCATGGACTAAAGTAAAACAGTATGTTGGATGTGCCATGCAATGCTCAATTACATGGGTGGGAGCTAGTGTGTTAGCGCAGTTAGCTCGTTAACGTGTTGGCCGTCTAGCCCCTCTGTATAGGGTAGCTCGTTAACGGAGATTTGCCGTGTTGTGGCGTTAAGGTTATTTCAACGAGATTAACCTGAAAGCACTAGTGGGAACACAACGAATATGACTGCACATTTACACCGACATCATCCTAGTGCAAAGACAAAAACAAGCATGCATGCTACAAACTTTAGCCGAGTCATTTAGACAGCTGTTAGCACAGGATTCTCCTTATGGAGACCTGATATGTTTAATATGCTGCTGAGAATATAGCCCAGAAGAAACGGATAGTATAGCTTTTATTTTGGAAAGAGACATTTCTCTGTAATAAACTCTCTTTTCCAAAGATGAGTGATTCCTCAATCAGATACAGGGCTCGCAATATCGCTAGCCCGACGTCCCGGGGCTATCTCTCCCCTGCCTGTCGGGCTATTGTAGGAAGGAAAAATATATGTCAATGCTTTTGCATTCTTTCAGAAATGTAGCTGGGTAATTATGTCATTGGGTGAGCCACTGTCAATATGTGACATATTGAAATCGCGTTTGAATTTGCGCTTGTTTTTTTGCTTTCACTTTGCAATCAAGCGAACTGTGTATAGAGAGCGACAGCACTGATCTGTGAGTGATGATAATTTGTGCACCAATTCCTCTGACATCGTCTTATTAATTGTTAGCTTACTATGCAAACATGACAAGTGAAATCTCCCGCAGCTTAAACATGTGAGAGGTTGATCGCGCAGAGAATCGCTGAGCTTATGTGAGTGCGGCAGGATATATATTTCACTACGATGACCTGGATGATTGAGAACCTTCACAGACAGATATATATTTTAGTTCTGCTGAGCCAAATAAGACAGGTCAGGGTGAAGAAGTGACAGCCAAAGAAAAGCTTACCACAAAACGGAGACGTTATGACAAATCAGACTATAAGGCAAAAAGAAAGTGCAGCTTTATGGTTTCATGGACAAAAGAATTTCTGTGGCTGCAATATGACGAGCTAAAAAACAACACGCACAAGGGTTAGGGTTAAATTTAAAAACTGTACTTTTGTGTTAAAATATATATTTATAATTTTAATAAATGACAAATTAAAAAGGCATGAACTTTTTTTTTGTATCGAAAAAATATCGAACCGTGACACCAAAGTATCGAACCGAACCGAACCGTGAATTTTGTGTATCGTTGCACCCCTAATACCAGCACATTGTATATGCTTCATTTGTCATGAAATAATGAGGGAATGGGCCTGGTCTGGCCACAAAACTGCTTATTAGTAAGCCCTAAAAACAGGACACTATGTATACAAATGTCTGTAATTCCTAAAGACTTGATCCAAATTTGTTGTTAAACCCACTGAATTACAGCCAAAAGTCTGCACTTCAATCACATCCGAATTGCTTGATTTAAAATCCCCTGTGGTGGCGTATAGAAGCAGAACTGCAAAAATGTGTCTTTGTCCAACAAATTATGAAGGTAAGTGTACCCAACAACATCACATAAGATATAAGAGTATTTTCTAATACACAAATACAGACACATTCATTTTTCTGCAAGTTGGAATTTATCTTTATCAGACTAAGACTGCATGAGGGTTTACAACTGAAACCCTTTTCTATCACGTCTGTACTTTGTATAGATACCTTTCTTGCGAACCAAGCAGCACAAAACAGCATATAGAAACATTTTTGACTGTGCCATTTTTAAACCTCTTATTATGGCAAAAGGAAACTGAATGCCACACTTGCTCTAACTACTCTTTGACACATTAAAAAGTGTTCTGTTTCTTTACAGTAGTGATGATGTCATATTGATTCTGTATGGAGGTTTTTCTCCAAACTGAAAGGAGCATTGAAATGAGGCTATGCAAGATAGCTGGACTCAATTGGAAACAGACTACCCTTTGAAAATGTTGTAAAAGAGCTGTTTGATCTTGAAACTTGGATAGAACTCTGATGCTAAATCAAAGCTACGGCTATTTTAAGAGGAAAAAATATCTTTGGAGCCAAAACTAGACTTGCTTTGTTTTATGAAATTTTGCCTAATATGGCTGTTCTCTCATCTAGGTTCTTGTGACTCCTCTACAGCCTCTACATGTTATCACAACCTGTGCTTACACAAAACAATCTGCAGGAGGACTTAAGTTAATGTCATCCAAAAAAAATCCCTTTCATCGACTTCCCTAAAGGCCTGCGGGGTGAACAGGATCTAATCAGACTAAGGATGCTTATTCACTGAAGTCATTAAGCTCATTAAAGCTTCATTATTTTGATTTGGTTTTGACAAGAAAACCTATTAAACCTCAATGGAATAATGTAATCCTCTCAGACCAAATGTGGTTCGGACTAACATAGACTCAGAGGTAAATTAATTGCAATTAGGGCATACAATCGGAAGACCCATGCAACATCCTCCCTGTGCATGTAAGTGTCAGACTTGAGCCCTGACCAAGCTGTGCGTATGTGTATGTCAGACACAATGCCAATTATTAATGACTGGATTTCCCTTTTCTCAGTGCCGTAATATTCCTATCAGATACTGGATCTGGTTGTTGATGTGGTTTGGGAGTTACATAAAAGCAAAAAAACTATACACAGGCATCCAAACACTCAACAGTCACTCAACAACAAAAATGCACCATCGTTAAAATGTTTTGGTGATTAACTGGGGCATCAAAACCCAAAGAGGTCGTTATGGATATCATCATTATTGATTACACAAGCATCTGTGCTCTCATTAAGCAAAATGCAACTGAAATCAAGTCCCACATAACATAAATACCCTCGATGTTATCTTGATGGATGATGCAAATATTTATGCCTAATGTATGAGTTCTTATTTAGGGTTTCAGGCAATGTAAAGATGTTTTGGTTTATGCCTCCATGTCCAAATATTCTTTAGCAAAAACTAAATAGATATAAGTGGATAAAGAACAAAATCAGAGGTTTTAAATGCCTTTCAATGGGGAATTTTAAGCTTTTGATGTGCCAAAAAATTGCTTTTTTTCTACTTGTATTTGAAGACAAAAGGTTTTGCGTTTTGAGTTTCTGTGTTCCAAACATAGGCATATATTTTTAAGCATAATGTGGCCACGCCTATACCAACTGCCCTCATATAGATGGACAAGAAATGGTGACATTGAAATTATACTACGCATATGCAAAGTTGAAACTCTGAAAAGTAAAAGCTGTTGATGATCATGATAAAAGATCTAAAATGGACTGCAAAAAATGGATTCCACTAGTTTGAGCACCATATGCAAAGCATGTGTCCTCTGGTGCATTTTCATTTGAATTGCTCCTGTTATACTACATGCAAACTCTCATAAGAAGGCTACTTAGAGGTGACTTACAGATACAAACACACTCAAATTATCAAAAACCAAATATACTGACATGCAAGGTGCTGACGTGAAGCGGTGTCCCTCCGGTTCCGTTGACCGTGTTGTTCCGGGCAGCAGGGCTCTTTCCTGCAGCCTTCTCTTTGGATGCTATCTTTGCCTTCTCTGCCTCAATGCGTTTTGGGCTGTTGAGCATCACTTGAACCACGGCATACTCCACCAGCGAGGCGAAACCAAACAGCAGGCAAGCAATGAGCCAGATGTCGATAGCCTTGACGTAGGATACTTTAGGCAGCTCTGAGGCCAAGGAGGTACACTCAGAGGACAAAGAGAGCACTGAGAGGATGCCTGTATGGAGAGTTATAACAAGAGACCTTGTCAGTCATTATAGTCAGATGAGGTATTTTTTTGTTTTTTATATTGAGAGATATGTGCACATTTTAGTCCCTGTGAAAACAACTAGTAATCAAAACATAAAACCTTCATCCCTGTATAGCAAAAATATTTATTTATCACAGAGGTTAAGCATTTGATTAACTTACGGCTGAGGAGGGAACACTAATACGTTTCATCTTTAATGAATAAAAAAATTAAAAATTCATTTAGTAATACACTAATCTGCAAAAAAGCTTTTAGAATGTCGGAGTTACCTCATTTATTAGGACATTTCCAAGAGCTCAAATAGCCTTTAATGAAATAGCATTTTTAAATCATTTTTACAGGTTGGAGATTCCTTTGCAAAGCACCAAAGCATCCTTACAGGATACTAGTGATGGGTCGGTCGCGAACGAAATGGCTCTTAGAGCCGGATCTTTGAAGTGAACGATGCGAGCCGTGGGTTTTTTGTTTTTCGCTTCACGCTGCAAGTCACCCTTGTGTTTGCGCTGAGCAGAGACGGCAAACAGAGCCTTGCGTTTGCGCCCCTTCCCCCTCTGCTCAGCGCTGAGTTGAGGGGGCGGTAGTTACATTCGCAACAGCAGTAGCACACAACAAGAGCAGGAGGGAGAGGGAAAGAAAGAGAGCCGGGAGCAACAACAAGAGACAACATCGTCACATTGGAAAGGTACAGTAAAGAAAATGAGTGACACCAAGAAAAGAAGCAAAGTCTGGAACCATTTCAATCTTAGTGACAAAACAAAGGCAGAGTGTAGTCTACAAGAAAAGGATATCATATAGAGCCGGCTCCACAAACAACATGCACATACACCTAAGAACTGTCCACCCATCAGTGCAATGGGAAGATAAAACGCAGTCAGTTGAGTGTGATATTAATATTTCTAAATGCCAACCTTTCCCTTAATTAAAGATCTGGGCGTTCTCCCCCCCTTTTTTTTTTTTCCCCCATATTTTAATTTATTGTGTTGTGGTTTGCAGTGTTTTGTGTTGTTTCACTTTAAATTTGTTTAAAAGGAAAAAGCTGAAAATTTAAGTAGTTAAAAGTTGAAATGTATGAAATGTAAATAGTTGGTTTCTGTATTTTATAATTTATTTATTACATTTTATGTGGAGTGAATAAATAAAAGTATATTTACAGTGGCCTTTAAAGACAAAACACATACAAACTCCAAAACACAACGGAAGTGCTCCAGGATGCTAGGGGCCGTGTTGAGCTTTTGTTACCTAGTGGCTACTACACAAGCCAGGAAGTACCAACAATTGGATTGGGTGTGTGGTAGTAACAGGTAGATGAAGTTTTTTTTTTTTAATTATTCGAATACACACACACACACACACACACACACACACACACACACACACACACACACACACACACAGCACAGAGCTATAAATGAGAGTATTCCCACACCTGGGTGCTAACTGACCTGGACTGATCCCATTTAGAGAGAAGTCAGGGGAGGCTTCCAGGAGGAGTTGGAGTGATGATGGAATGAAAGTGGTGATAAACAACTGGAGGGAGGATGGAAAAAAGGAAGCAGTGGAAGACTGAAGTGGGATAACAATGGATTATCTTATCTGTGCAGCCCTGAATACACACACACAGACGTGCCAGTGTGACACTGGGTGTGGGTGACACTGACATATTACACACAGGTTGAATTATGAAGGAGGGGGACAAGCAAATGGAAATATTTTTTTTCTCAAGCCAGCACAAGATCTACAAATACTCTGTCAATTCTGAAAAGTGTAGTGTTTGTAAAGTGTAGTATAAGCATTTACAGCATATGAAGGAAAGATAATGCATAAACATCTATAAGAAATAGGCAAATATAACATCTATACAGTGATATATAACCTTGCTTGAGGCATTTTTCTAATTAATCTGAACACATAAGGGTGTGCCAAAACGTTTATATTTGGTACATGTAAGACATACTTGAAATATATCTGCTGTAAAAATAGTGTTAAAATTGTTAGTTCACTACATTCATTCATGTGACAGTAGTAGTGTCTTTATCTGAGTATTTTTACATTCAGGACTTGAATTTCAAGTTGTAACATCATTCAGAGATGGCCTTCTCTGAAATAGCCGAATTACTTATTCAGCTATTTCATTAAACTGAATGTGAAAAATCACAGTGGAGCCTGTGATTTGGAGCATTTGAGTGGTAAGTTTATCACTGTTATGTGTTGTACCATACCACATCAGACGTTAAATTAAGCTACAATTTGACCAGGTTAGTTAATCAGTTCCAGGTGTCACATGTTTTGAGGACATCCATTAAGTAGAGACACAAGACAGAAGGGCATCCACGGGGCAAGACAAAGAAATAAAAAAAAAAACCCTATAATGATGCTATGAGAAGAGTGTGTTTTAGCTGAGGAAACTTATGAAACCGACTGTTTAAAAGAACTGACAACTTCATATTAGCCAGTGGTGCCAGCCTGTGCTTAGAATATATTAACCTAGTTCCTTTTTCCAACATACAGGCCTAAGCGAAAGACAAATTGTGTCAACAATCAGTGTTATAAAAAGGGCCACTAGATATTGTTCATCTGGGTCCTGTGATTTATGCAGTACATATACAAAGTCACACTATAATCTAAGTACTACCAGTACCAGACAATCCTTGTCACTTCCCTTGGGGCTCGTTCTAACACTCTAGTAATCTACCTGAACCTCCCTCAGGCTTGATACAACGTGTGCTTCTTTAATTTGGAAAAAAAACAGCACCTGTGTGCTTCAGCACACTCCTTCATTACTTTGGTTAATAGGGATCAGGTGTGCCCTGTTGGCCAGCTCAAGTAGCTTCTGCATTCCCACTGTCTCCGTAACACTTTATTGACTGCACAGAATAACATAAGAATTTAAGTGAAAGACAAGAGCCTGGCCTTGCCTCCAGCGATAATAAGCTAAAATTTAACAAAAGGCATTTTATCAGTGGATGTTTATAGGAATCAGCTTCTTGTCTAATGGGAAAAATAGCTTGAGTGGATGAATGTTTTAGATTTTAAACATAACAGCAAAGAGAAACCAAAGTTATGACAATTAGGCATAAACCAACTGGCTAACCAGCAAAGGGGGCAGTTATTGGTCTTAAACATGGGTTTAAGCTCTCAGCTCTGATTCATGTGTATTTAGCTTACACTGGACAAGGGTTCTTGCTTCATGGGTCCCATCTGTCAATTACAGCGACATTCAATGATTTGTCACATACAGAAAAACGATGGCTATGACACCAACCTCGACAGATAAGTCCTTCATGGTGTCAAAGTGATGGATAAGTCAGTGATCCATACAAACATCCAAATACTTTAGAGTGGTTTCTATTTATTTACTATAGCCTTTTGCCCAATAGAAATCCTTTTAGACAGTAGTTTAAATGTCTAATTCCTCCAATAAAAAAAAAAACAAAACACTCTCACCCATCACTCTTTTTGATCTAATTATGCACTTATCCCTGGATGGAAGCACAAGAAATAGTTCACAGACAATGTGTACTGATAAAGATCGGTGAAACTTATCAAGTAATCCATACCCAAAGGAACCCTGGCAGCACTTGCGTCAGGGTTAATCCAGAAGGAAAGCCATGAAAGGACTACGATGAGCAGCGTAGGGGCATAAACACCCATCATGTAGAAGCCAACCTGTCGCCTTAGGGTGAAGATAACCTCTACACAAGTGTAGTACCCTGCATGACAATGGAAACAATGGTCACATATCAAAACATGATTTCATCAAAACATAGCTAAGGTAGTTAAGTAGGCATGTGCTTGATGGCACTGGCAGTGCCTTCATGCACATGATTTATGTGTCCCAATTCAGAGAAATGGCACTATATGAAGCCCATGCTCCACCTTACCTTTTCCCATAAAGCATAATTAATTAGAGACAATAGCCAGCAGTAGTTTTAAGATCAATAAGAAAAAATAAAATGTTACGTATTGGTTGAAATGTGGTCTTCAGAGCATCCAGTCCCTTAACTGAAACAGAGCAGGTGAGAGAACTGGCACTTCACTGAACGGTCTATAAAAGCCACATTAGGCATTAGGAGGTAAGGTAAGTTCTTTACGCACTCTACTTCGTCCTTTGGCCAAAGAGAAAAGCAAACTGCAGTAGTGTGCATCATTTGTCATGGAGAAAGCAAAAAGAGAAGACAACAGCCAATAGGCTTTAATATAATTTCACATAACTTTGTTAAAGCTGAGACTTATTTGAGCACTCAAGGTCGCACATCAGAAAATACTGCTTCCTACTGTGAATGTGCCAAATGTGTAGGATGTCTGAACCTGCCCCAAATCCTTTGAGTTATTACTGTTAGAATTGGCACTTCCATTTTCTCTTTTTTTTAAGTGATTTTGCTTGAAAGTACTATATACATTCCTGCTAATAACTTATCTATTTTTCAATCACTCATTCCTGTTGGAAGTAAAGCCATCATTAGTAAGCCTGAGGAATAAGAATCCATAAGATTCAGACCTTTTCAGGAGCCTTTTGTTTCTGAATATAGAGCCTAGTTAGTCGGTCTAATGGGATGGTAGAGTGGGTGGGCTGAAGTAATATTTAACTAGCTCAGGGATCTCTGGAGCTTTTATACAGCATATAAGAGCCGCCTGTGTCGCCAAGCAGGCTTGAACCAGTCGTAGACAGAGGTGATCTTTGTGTCTGGCCAGGTAGCCATGGCAACCAGTTAAAAGCCTGACTCATCGCCAGCAGTGTGCCTCCCCAAGTGTGAGAGCATTGAGGTCATACCAGCTCTGTTGGCTGATAGAGATTTTTCCATTTTATTGTGAATTCATTTTGTACTCACATAAGTCTGCATGAGTGTATACCACAGTACCATTACCTTTTTCTTTTTTGCAGTTTTACTTCTTTTATTACAGGATTAGTTATTATTCTTAGTTCGGCAAGCAGCCTGGAAAATGACAACTTTTACAAGCTGTCTGCTACCCTTCACTGGTATTTAGACACATTTAAAAAAGAAAAAACCTCTTAGCAACAATATTCAGTAAGGACCACATAATTGTATATAAGGGTACTGAGGCCTGTAATGCAATTCAATATTTAGGACCAAGAAGGATAACCCAGTAGGTGGTTCACTTCTGGCAGGGCACACTGTCATGATAACTGATGCTGCACACCTAATTTGCTAGCTTCAAACACAGTTCAAGACAGCAGATAAAAATATAAAATCACCACCTGGGGATAAATCTGATTTTTAGAAATAATAAACAATTTTATTATTTCATATTTATATAGTAAATAGCTTTTTATTTTTTATTTTTATTATTCTCATGACAAATGGGAACAAACAGATCTTATCCTGTGTAGTCCTTGTTGTACATTTGGCCATTTGATGATAACATCAGAATTTTTGGTAAAACATACTTAGAAAAAACTTGGTTAACTTCCTTAAGAAACCACCTTCGTGTGATTGTTTAAAATAATAGGCTGTAATGGACATATTGAAGCCAAATAATTAAAAGATTCTTGGAAAACTGAATGTTACCACTGTTATTTTTACTATACTCAGTGCGCAACCTATTAGCTACACCTTGCTAGTACTACATTCACCCCACTTTGGCCTTTACAACTGCCTTAAATCTTCATAGCAGAGATTTCTCAAAATCCTGTAAACATTCTTCAGAGATTACTTTTATTCTTATTGTACAAATGGATGAGATTTTCATGGTAAAGTGAAAAATAGATCCAGGACAGAAAAAGCTGCATTATGCCGGTCATACAACTTCAGCTTTTTGCAAGAGTCTGCACAGACAGCATGCTAATGCTAAGCTAGCCAGCATACTAAGAGAAGAGTCATCTGTGTCCTAGTTTGAACAGCGACTTGTGTTGGTGTGTTGGGCCCAGGGAACACATTCACATAAAAAATTAAATACATTTCAATGGGGGTTTTTTTTGTTTGTTTTTTCTATCTTTACATTTTATTTAACCATGAGCAAAACCTTCCCTGTGGTTTGTCTTTTAAAACTCTAAATTACTTTAAACTTGTCAACATTAGGTTTGACTACTGATAACACATCATGAAATAGAAATAATATGAATGAGAGGAGTTTGCACTGTGACAACTCAAAGTCACTCCATGTTTCAAATTACAGCGTGTGCTAATATTATTACTTTGTTTACTTTGAGGAGAGTCAGAGTAACCTTTCAGTCATGACTAAGTAAATTTGTAATATTTCTGAATTTGTCCTAAGTTATCTGATACAGCTGTCTGCTCAGTGACTGTGATTTTTGGTGGCTTCCCAAGAGGGAGATAGTCAACAGTTAATGGCAGACATATCCATATGACTATACTTTTAGGTTGAGGATAATTTTCTTTTAAAAAAAAAATTAATATTGCTTAAAACAATGTTCATAGAAAGTCGGAATTTTAGCGCAGATGCCAGCGCAGGGAAAAAAAGTAATTTAGTAGTTCAATATACCCATTCAGACTTCTACTGTACATTTTTACTGTCAGCTGAGCGTAACTACTTTCTTTGGATGTTCAAAACTTTTTAACTTTCTTATCACTTTATATTGTTTCATAACGATGAAAGTACCTGTGCCTGCATAGTATTTGGTGCAGTTTCCATAAGTAATATCTTCTTGTCGGATATCAAACTGTGGCAGAGCAATAGCATCCATTTGCACAGGGTCTCCTGTCTGCCACATAAACTGCAGGTCATCTGTTGTATAACCAACTGGAAATCAGGAGGGCACAGATACAGAGATAGAAAAACAGTCAAACACAACAGATATATATAGTTTAAGCCCACCGTTACCACCCTTCCAATGAACATAACAGTTCAAATGCATGAAGCCATCCAGAATATGATACATCTCAGCAGTCAGGTTTGGCTTTACAGGGTAATGGCTTCAAGTTATGTTGCTTATTTAAGTCTGCTTTGTAAACAAGATGCAGTAAAGACATGTCAAGCTCAATTAGCTATGAGACTCTCACAACAACCCTAAAATATGATGATTTATTCTACTGCACTAAGTGTTCACCACTGGAGTTGGCTGCTAAACACAAGCAAAATGCTCTTATTTACCCTAAAACCAACTACTTTACAAAAACAACAACTATATTCCCAACTCATAAATACTGAATGTCTAAAATATCAGCAAGCACATGTGTATACTGATGAGATACTTTAAAGAGTTGTTAATTTAGGAAAACTTACAGCTTTCAAGTTGCATTTTACACCTCTGTGTGTCCATAGGGAATAAGGTCAGATCAAGTGGACAAGAAAGGGTGACGGACAACCTGTCGGAGGAAGAAGATATTTATTTTTTTTCTTTATGGCTGCTTTATTGTATTCATTGCATATATTACTGTATACACTTCACAAGATGAAACTCTAGATTACACTGGAGCCAAGGGTTTAACCCGAAAGGGTTTTTTTTTCTGAGTGATATATTAACATGGAATAAAATGGTACATGCAAACATACAGACAATTCTCTTTGGAGATGAATAAAACCTGGCAGCAATCCCTTTGAAGATTAAGTCTGTACATTCACATTTCTATTGGTTATCCAGTTTTGTGTTACATGGGGGCCTGGAACCTATTCTACTTGTTGTAAGGTAAAAGGCGGGGTACAAATCTGTTTTCCACTAAATCTTGTGCATGTAAACAGTTTTATCTTTTGAGTTTCCAGTTTTACAGTCTTAATTACTGAAGAAAATATATTAAAATAAAGTAAAGAAGGACAGAAAACACAGGCAAATATTTCCAGTATAGACTAAAATATATCAGAGTGAATTTGCAGTACTTCAGGTCATAGACACAAATGATCCATGATTAAATACATTGGCAGCACTACAGGTAATAGTTCTATGCAGCTGGGTCAAAAATTATTTAATGTGCTCAGTCTACAGATGTGTCCACAGCTACATAATATAATTTTGCACTTTTATGTAGTCTAATATTGAGAACACTGAGCAGTCATTTGGTTACTACTAAGGTTGATGCTACATTAATTCAGTCTGAAACTATGCCAAATTAGCCAGGAGATAAGATGTACCACAACGTAAGGAGTGCTCTGACACGTTGATAAATATGTTTTTTTCCTTTCTCACTGGGAGGTTGTTTTGCTCTAAATAGTAGCAAGAGGTGTCTCCTTTTTATTTGACATAAAAGCCATAGTAAAGCCTAAAAAGAACAGTTAGTGTTTTGACACAATATGACAATCTTAATGGTCAATTGTTTCTGTATCCAGGGATACAGCCCTCAAGGCACACACAACCAGGTAATAACTTAGAAGTGGGTATTGATAACTGGTTGAAGTATTGATAAGAAGTGATAAGCCATGATTGCCATGGTTCCCTGTAGTGTGAATGGAAGCGTAGTGAAACTGTGAAGAGACTATTCATGAAGTCAGATGCATCTTTTGAAATGTGTTGGTTTCAGTGGTAAAGCACAACTTTTATTTTGAAGGCCAATGTTCTCCGATTCCAGTTTGTGCCACAATTTTGCAAGTTTTACTACAGGGTGGTGAATTTGCAGATAAGTCGGTTTGTTCCATGGAAAACACAAGTGACCCTGATGATTTGCTGGTGACCAAAGCAGTCACAAAGGGGTATCTTCATTGCAACTGATTTCTCTTAGCAAAATCCAGCAACACCTAAGAACCACTTGCAAACCAGTTAAAGAACACACATTTCTTTCATAGCAAGCAGAGGTTGTCAGGGAATCGCCAGCTTGGGACTGAGGCCTAACATGGTTTACAAATTTCTAAATATTCCACTATGAGGCTGCCATTATGAAGTGATTACTTTTGAAGTCATGTAAGTGTTTACATTCTTTGTTCTATGGCCAATAATAAACTCTAATAGCCTGAAATACAGCTTAATGTATACTGTTTATAGAAAGCTAGATGTAAGGTAACACCCTATTGATCCCTTTCAAATACAAGATTTAATAACTCTAATATCTAGCATATTGGACTCCTTTAGCTAAAAGGCTGCTGAAAAGGCTGTGTCTTCAGTATGGCCGCCCAGCTCCAACAATTGAGTTGTGACTGACTTGACTTCAAGATAGGCAGGGTAACGCTACGCTATCCTTTTTTAAAAATTAGTCTCTAGTTATCAATGCAGGACACAGAACCGACTTTAAGTGCTTTGTAGATGTTTCTAATTAGTACTTAGGCACCAGCCACCGCTTAAGTGCAGTATAAATGGATAACACTCAAACAACCAAATGAGCTCCAGTCTCAATAACTAGATAAGAGAAAACTAGACAGGAAATTTGAATTGCTGTTCCTTCATTCCTTAATTGGAGTCAAATTATTTCAGTTGTTGTATGCTTGTCACCGAATATTTAGAAATGCAAAAAGCCTAACTGCTAGGTAGTAAAACAGAAAGAACACATTTTATATTACTTTCACTAGCTGGGCCCACGTCCTCATTTTAGGTTTGAAAGCGTATTAGTAGATAAAGGTGAATGCCGTGGACGTGAATTGAGCTGGGGTTTAGGGAAGGCCACTGGTGGTGGCTCCCGGACCCAGCAGATCCCTGTGTACTAATTAGAAGTGAAGAAGTTAAAGAATTGAAAAGAGGAGGGAGGGTGAGGAACGTAAACGAGTATTAACAGGTTGTAGAACTGGGGGAAACTACATAGATAAGAATCAGGAGGAGCGTGTTTGGAGGCGCGGTCCCACTCCTGAAATTCTGGTACTTTATCTCCAATTGTTTTAAACTGTAGGGATCACAGGGCTTGACCCCAGATCTAAGTGATAAAACAACCTCATAATTACTTGAAATAAAGATCAGCGAATATGGCAAAAGCATAAATACACCCTGTTTAAGCCATTTAGTAAAAAATATAGAATGCTATATCAATATCATAAGCTATATGTTTTGGTATCATAAATCAATGATGGTATTGATAAAATATTAGTGAAGATCATTCCTAGACTGTATGAGATCTGTTTGCAGACAGAATCCTTTCTACTTAACTTAAAGTTTTTTTTTTCATCAGCTTTAAACTTGAAGATTCATGACTTATGGCCCAAACTAAAATTGAGTGGTACTGTCGAAAGGACTTTTGAATTAAACCAGATACTAAGTCATAGCAAAATTTACAGTAATGCTGCATTTTCCTGGATTATTGCATATCTGATGAAGTGACTATTTTCAACGAATCACATAAGACTGAACGACATTTCAAGTACACTGATTAAAAACAAGTTAAAAAAAAAAGTAAATAAATTACCTCATACTGATTAGGACATCTCCATTACGGAAGATGAAGAGGAGAATATTTTCTTGGGTAACATCATGAAAGTTGGCGCTCTTCTCATTAGCGAAGAACAGGTCGGGTTTCCAGAGACATTTGAACATCTTGGGATCAACAGTGAGAGAATCAGACTTGAAGTCGTCTGGCAGTTTCAGCCTGGGGTCATTCCAGCGCTGCCGCAAGAAGATGTTGACTCTGTAATCCTGTTAAGTGTAACACCAGGCGAGTACAAACACAGTTAATGTTACTTCCATGTAAACTCAACTGGACACAGTTTGGGTGCTTTCACGGTAAATGATGCCCAAAAGGCAAACTCTCTAAATGGAATAAAATAAAGCATATGCTAATCTTTCTGCTAACATTTTCTGAAGCTTTAAGGGGGATGGTACAAAAAAGTGCATTTTCTGTGTGAATGAATGAGATGCTTTAACAGGGTAACAAAAACATTTTTAAGCCTCCTAAATATGTTTGAATAATGAATAATAACATATAGATTACTTTAAGTGCAGAGTGACAGTTTACATCTGCAACATAATGCCTTTAAAGCGGTCAACACACAAGAAACTGCACAGTCCAAGGGTCAAATGTTATCAACACAGCAACAGCAAGTACCTCATTAGTGCACATATTAGTAAAATGTCCACATTCTTGATGGTGGGAAAGTATCACTGTGAGCTTTGGGACACATCTCTGTGCACACACTGATGGTGGGCCTCAAGCTGTTCTGGGAGCAGGTGAGCTATTAAGCTGAGGTTGAAGACAGATGGTATGTCAAATACAATGGCTGAAATATCAGCTTTGCATGTGTTCAGTCTTGTGTAGGAAATATGCCTTAAACGTATACTCTCCCCTTCTATTTAGTTTTTATTACCTGAAACTATATTATTATTGACATTTTTGTTATTTGACATGGCAGCTTGTTTAAATCTAAAGTAAAGTCAATGAGAAACCATTAGAATTTTTAATAACTCAATTTTAGCATATGTGCATCTACTGCAATTTAAAACATGTTAGTATTTATTACAAGGAAAAAAAACTGCCCATGGCCATTACACTTGCAATACATAAATGATGCAATGTCAAAATTATGGAAGCCCATTTCCGCCACTAAAATTTCGAGTAATCTACGTGAATGACGTCATTTCCTTGTTACCCGGAAGCTGAAGCCTTCAGGTAAAAATGCTACAGCTAAGCTACCGGCAATGTCAAAATACAGCAGTTCAAATGACATAAATAGAATATACGTGTTTATAGACTACACAAATCTGCCAAGTTTGAGCCAATAGAAATTTTGATATGATTGTGACACGTTGCGTGTCACTCACTTCTCACATGGTTTGGCACCTAGCTAGCTGGTGAACATAGATATTGTTATTATTATTTCAGCCAGTGCAGAGATGTCAATTAACGCTGAGCAAAAACAGTTAAATTGTAGATTTTAAGGGTTATTTGTGTCTTTTATGTACCCCAAAACAAATTTTAACTTTACTGAGGAATTTTCCACTGTCCATCAGCATTTATACACTCACTTGCCAAATCATTAGGTACATGTGTTAAATTGCCAGTGTAAATATTTTATCTAATGGCAGCAAGTCAGTGCATTTAGGCATGTAGAGTTAGTCAAAGAAAAAAACTGCTGAAATTCAAACCAAGGATCAGAATGGCAAAGAAAGGAGATTTAAGTGACTCTGAGCCTTTCTAGGTTGTTGTGCTGCTCTGAGTATTTGAAAAACTGCTGGATTTGGATTCTCTCACACAACAATCTCTGGGGTTTACAGAGAACGGTCCAAAACATAGAAAATCTCCAATGAGCTGCAGTTCTCTGGGTAAAAATCCAATGTTGATGCCAGAGGTGAGAGGAGAATGAAAAGACTGTTTTAACCTGATAGGGAGGCAAAAGTAACTCAACCACTATTTAATAACCAAAATATGCAAATACTTGGCAGGGTCGGAGGCAGGGTCAGAATTTGGCATAAACAGTTAAGGAGTGGCCCGTATGATGCATTATTTTCTTTTGAAAGGGGAATCTTGCAATCAAGCTGTTGATATCTTATTTTATAAGATATCATTTCTATACAACCACATTTTAGACACCTGTGTTGAACTAGTCCTTGAGCTACAACATGAATAGCTTCTGGTGGCTCTTCTCTGTCTGAGGGAGACACGGGCCAATTCCCACACATTTTCCTTCTCTAAAAACTAGACAAGGAAATATATCTTGCTTCTGGCTCACAATCAAGCTGCCAGTACAACATTCGATTCCAGAGAGATTTAAGAACTTTCTATAACCACTGAGGGAAACTAAAGCTGAGAAGCAGTAAAAAAAACATATATAACAACAATTTATTCCATCTCCGAAGAAAATTAGTCATTGTTTTCTAAAGATTATAATCATAATGTGAAAATAGGTATGTTAAATATAGTGAGTGTTTGGTAGAGGGAGGTGTGAATAATGAAAGAAGGTTTCCTGAGATCAGATACCCCACAGAGTGAAAAATTGAGGGTAGAGGTGACCAGCTGTCTCTTCCTCCTTCTGCTAGATTTGTTTCAAACCTTCCTCACTTTCATTCAGTTTATGCCTAGGCTGGGTGTCCAGGGGGAAAAAGGAAGAAAGGAACAAGCTACCCTTTTGAGAGTTGTGCATTTTTCTCTTCCACTTTGTCTTTCTTGGCTCTTGTTCTTGCTTTCTTGATCCTCCCTTTTTGTCTTCGCTGTTATGGTCTCTTTCTTCAGATTATTCTCGCCATTTGCGGTCTTTATTATTCCTTTGCTTTCATCACACTTTGAACCATCACACTTTTTAATTTTATTCCCGCTTCCTCTATCTTATTCTTTTTCACTACTCAATTTCCTCATCCCTGTCTTCCATTATCCGTCTTAATGATCTTTGGCCTCCTACTGTCTGATTTAATCTTCCTTCTCCCATCCATTTCACTTTACCTTTGTCTTTCTCTCTCTCTCTCTCTAACATGGTGTCTGTTTTTCACACTTTCCTTCACTGGTCAAAACTTTTTCCTCGAGGTCTTTGTTTTCCTCAGCTCTTTCTTCCTCATTACCCTTCTTCTTTGTTTGTTTCCTCCTGATGTGTTCATTTTCTTCCACCATCTTTGGGTCCTGTGATTTGTAAGGATTTTCCACTTATCATCCTAAGTGGTCTATAATAGAGTGAAACTCTTGACTGGAGTATTTTATAAGCAAATACACACTACCTATCTGCTGCCAATCTTTTCCCCGTGTGGCAGATTTTCAAGCAGTGCCAGCTCCAGGATATATTATCCAAGACTTTGTTCAGAGTGCCATGACTCATAAAAGTGAGCATGATGGAACACTTAACCCTGCTGAACACTGATCATTCTTGGACATTTGGTTGTTTCAATGGCAATACAGCAAGGTCCATAATTTGTTGGACAAAGACGAAGACATTTGTGTAATTTTGTCTCTGTACATCACCACAGTGTATTTTAAATATAACAATAAAAATGTGGTTGCCGTGCAGACTTTAAACTTTAATTGAAGGGGTTTTTACAAAAAAATGTTTAGGAACTAAAACCATTTTTTACATAGTTCACAAAAACTAATTGGAAAATTGAGTAACAAGCAGTTTAATGGCCATGTAAGGCCAGTTTCCTTGATATTTTGTGAAAAATGGAGCAACCAAATGAGAGATGTCAAAAAGATAACTCACAACTTAAACTCCTGAATAAGAAGGTCAGATTAGACTTTGCCAGAATTAAAAGCGCCTGCACAGTTTTGACAAAACCTTTGGTTAGATGAAACCAAGACTACGTTTTACCAGAATGATGGGAAGAGAAAAATATAGAGAAGCAACAGCTTACGAGCCAAAGCATACTATATTACCTATCAAACATGGGAAGGCAATTTTATAGCATTGGCATGTATGGCTGCCACTGGAACCGGGCCAATGGGGCTTACTGATGATATGACTGCTGAGTGAGGTAGCAGGATTAATTTTGAAGTGTACAGCTCTATACTCTTTGCAGAGATTTATTCAAATGCTGTGAAACACAGGGCAAACTCTCACAGTGCAAACTAATCATGAGCCGAAGCACACCACAAAAGAAATGCAAGAATTTTTTAAGGCCAAGCAGTGAAAAAATCTTGGATGGGTAAGTCAATTCCACCATCTCAACCAAACAGATCGCTTATCTGATATTTAATACAAAACTAAATGTAGCATTTGGTGATGTCAGTGGGCTCTAGACTTCAAGGGAGTCATTGACTGTAAAGGGTTTTCATCAAAATATTCAAAACTAATCTTATATTTAAAATTATGTAAGTAAGCCTCTGAAAATGGGTGGTTAGGTATAAAAATAACTGTGATCCCTCAACAGTTGATGCAAAAAGTCTGTAAAAGCCCTTGAATTAAAGCTCAAAATCTGCATATAAATCACGTTTGATTTTAAATTCACAGTGTTTGTGTACTGAGGCAAAGTTAAGAAAAATCGATAATCAAATAACGTCTCTTTGTCAAAATAATGATGGACCTAACTTTAGGTTCTGTAACTAAAATAGGATCAGTTATACAACATTAAATAACAGGACATGGAGAAGGACACTGAAATGCATGTTGGCTGCCACACACATAAATACTGCTAAATTTCTGAAAGAAGGTCATATACATATTACATGTGTCAGCCTTAGAACAACTATAAATTTTACATTTTTATTAATCAACTTTCCATTTGAGTAAAAATGTGATTGTACTTATATGGGGGGAAAAAAGTCAAATTTATCTCACAAAAATGATTTATGAGTGACAATGTGACAAATCATACTAACGCTAAGTGGGAAGAAGGTTTGTTTTTTGTAATAAAGACATCCTGGATTAATTTCTGTAAAACACACATGGAAGAATAAAATAAAACTGTTGATTTTGGTAATTTGTGACATTACACTGTTGAATGATTGGATGTATAACACCAGGTGAACCAGTCTTATTAGAAACTGGGAATTTCCATTTATTGCTTTCTAAGTGATCAAGAGTCAACCCAGCTTCGTCCTTGAGTTTAATCTAGTAATTAGTATTCAAACTGCATTTCTTGATCAGCAATTAAGCCATCAGATAAATGAGGCATGCAAACTCCAGTCTTCATAATGATTCACTGCTAAATGATCTAATACCATCTAGAAAACATGCTCATGAATTCTCCCTAAAACTTGGCCAAAGCAGTTTTCAGCTCTCATTCACTGCTTCTGATTGGCAGAAGTATTGATTACCAATACTGTCAAACTGCAGCAGCAAGTCCTTACCATGGTTGTTTCTTGGATTGAGCCAAAGCTGTTGATGAAAATGTTCACTCTATCCTCCACAGGAATTCCTGGATTTAGAAAGAGAGAGAAAATTGTAATTTTGAAAACTGTATTCCTTGTGTCTAATAACTGCTTCGCCCATGTCTCAAAGCAAAGCAGTTATCAAGTACTGCTCCTGCAGTTTACAATACATTTGTTCTGTAAATCCATGTAAATGCATTCCTAAACCATACATATTGTACCTAGTGATTTAATTGATTATATTAATGGTCAGGTTTTGTGAAAGGCCCAGCATTGCAAAATAATAAAAATCCCTTCTCAAAATCATCCCATCTTCTTCCCAAGCTCACGCTGTAAACATTTACTGTATATTGGCACCCCTCCCCACTCAGCCTTTTGCATAAACTAATAAAACTGTTGATGAATGCAGACTGCTCACCCTGCTTTGAATAAATTATTTCCTTTGATCTGTTTACTTGAGGCTCACAAGTTTCACTGGATAAATTCTACCATGCAGGTCACAAAATTAATGCACAAGTTATGGCGTGTTATAGAGCTCACATCTTTGTTGCATTAATGTAACAAATCAAACATTAACTTGAATCAATATTCAAAGGTAATGCTGCTATTACTATATTCTATTATTCTATAGGGCCCATAAAAGCAGCTTGCCATGTTACAGCGAAGTAATGCATAAGGCATAGTTTAGTTCTTAATTTGGGAGATTATGATATGGATGCTAATGGATGAGGATTTCAGGCCACCCTGAAATGGAGAGCAGATGTTTGGCTGCTGGACCAGTCGGAGGGAGTGAGGGAGAATGCTAAGTCGGCTCACTACCCATCAAACATTAAGTCCCAGATACAGCTCCTGGTGCCAAGTGCCAGAGCAAGGAAAACTACAGATCCACCTGAAGACTGGGGAGACGATCAGTCAGACAAAGAGGCCACCAGCCACCTCTTTGTTATTTTCATGGCTGTTTCTGTGAGACAAACATAGTACTCCCAGCAGTGTGATGTGTACAGTACACTATAAACACTGACGATGGATGGTTTTTGGGCTTTGAAAAATGAAAAATGAAAAAGAAATGACTGTACAAAGGTAACAGATGAGGCATGCTTCCACTTCAAAATCAAATTTTTACTTGTGCATTTGTCTGTAAGCTAGCTTTAGCAATTTTGATTAATCTGATTCCTAACCTTAGACAGATTTTAGAAATATCAACTTGTCCTATGCACGAGTGTCTATTAAAATCTGTCCATGCAGCAGTATCGGCAAGAAGTCAACCCAGGAACACAAGCCTTCTGTAACTGTTTAAGCACAAGTTACATTTGCAAGGGAATGCATTTTGATTAATGCCTCCACATTCCTACCTCCAGCATTAAACTCTTAGAAGAAATCTGGAGGTACACATGCACGTGTTTCTTTAATTAGCATGACAGCACTGCAGCTAGAATGTAAATTAAAAACGAGACAGAAACAGATAAAGAGCAGAAAACCTGCCTTTGAAGTTGGGCCTTATTCTGGGATCATAGGTGATCAGTAACCTGTTCAAGATGTTGCTGGTTGAATTTGCAGGGACCCGGGCCAGATCCTCAGATGACAGCTGTCTGCAAATAAAAAGACAGAGAGAGAACTTGAGGCACGATTACATTAGCAGGTCAAATTCCTGGCAGATGAACAGACAAAGTGCACAGTGCACTCACTTCTACTCTGTATACTCTTTGATTAAACTATAACCTGGGAGAGCTACCAGTCTGGGATTAAATTGGCTTTTAAGATTTGGACCACCAAGGAACTGTTAGACTGAGACAATGTTTAGAAATGAAATGTGCTGCTATTATGGGATGTTTCCAGATTATGACTGAGGAAGTTGACAAGATCCCTTGGGCTAATGGAAGACTCTTCTCAACATGCTGAATTTTGAAATATTTGCAGTGTTCATCATCTCAACATGTTTTCATACAAATATATGTTATTGAGCAGTAAACACAGGGCAGTTTAAGTTGTACTGACATTTAATCATCCATAAATAAAACATTTGGGTATGTGAAAAATTCTAAAGGATGCAAAAATATTTCATTTTAAAATCATTCAAGGGTTTTTTAAGATAAATGAGTGAAACGCTTGATCAAAGCACATATTATACTATCTTTATAAAAACAGCACTAGTTCAGTAAGCAAGCCAATAAGTAACCCACTGAAATGATTTTCCCCTGAATGAATCAATCTGCCGCACAGGTGACAAGTATAAATGACTTGTCAAGACAAATAATCTGTTTTTGTGCTATGTAGTTCTTTTTGTTTAAGTCTACTTCAAATGTTCCTACAAAATTGAAAAAACTTAACAGTGCTTGGTAAAAATATCACCAACAACATGACGACAATCAGTCAAACATCATTTGTTTTCATGTGCTTGACTAATGAAAAATACAGTGGGACAGAGAGAAAAGGACGAGGAGGGGATCTGGCAAGAGAGAAAGGGGAAACAAAAATCCTCCTCCTGGGTGGCAATGAATGCTTCTGCCAAAGAATTCCCCCTTCTCAATACATATTATTATGTAAACCTTATCATGCACTGAGGATGGGCTAAAGTGCTACACAAGAATGCTGCGCAGTGTGTATATGTTCAGCGGTTCCCCTGATCAAAGTAAAACCCAATTCCCATCCGCTAAACCGCTTTTTTTCCTCCTCTTTTTTTAAGAGACCTTCCTGACAATCTCAAGCACAAGAGCTAAACTGGAACCAAGTGCTTTAGTTGATCCGCAAAGGCATCTGCAGCATTAAACACAAAGCATGTCATACAGCTTCCACTTGCCAATTTTCTACATCAAACAGTTTATCCCACATTTCAAGACTTCATTGTAGAGACATTTGTTACCATTTAAGGAAGAAGATAGCGCAGCTCTACATTACACTTAACTCAGCGTGCAGGACACAATTACGTCACATTCCTTTTGTGATCTACAGTATTTACATCTATAGTTTAAACCATAACCTGAGAATCACCTTTTGGCATGCACTGAAGAGGCAATGACAACCTGAGATCTATTTACGTGTATGGTGGAGAGACTGAAAAGTAAGATCCATTAGGTGTAAAATAGACAAAGTCCGCCATGCTTCAGCTCCATGCTGAACTGACAACATTGGTCAGGGTTTTTCCTACAAAGGGTAATTGTTGTCCACCCCTAAGATGTTTTACACCCAAATAGAAAAGAGGCACTGTAATAGCCATTCATCCATTTTCTTAACTGCCTAGCCTAATTACAGTCATTGAGGTGGGAGCACCTGGTGAAAACCCACACAGGCACAGGAGAACATTAAAACTCCATGTCCTGGCCAGCAGTTTCAAACCCAGAACCGTCTAGCTTTGAGCTGCTGGTGCTATTCAATGCACCTTCGTAATATGATTTTTCAAACCTACGTTCCAAATTGTTCTGCTATTAGGATAACAACCATTTTACTATCTGTACCCACATACTCATTTTAGGTTTGGCAACATTTTTAGTAGATAAAGGCAGATGGCTTAAACATGAATTGAGATGCGGTATTCAGCTAATTTATCTCCAATTTATTTACCAAATGGTCAGAAATATGCTTCAGAACTAAAATAAATAAAGGCAAGTTTGTGTTTTTAATAGATTTAATAGACCAACACTATAATATATGTATATAGAAAATGTTTTATATGAGGTATAGCCTCCTCTACAAAGGACAGTAGTTCCCCATCTGTCTATTGGCTCCACAAGTGTCCCGATCTGCTGAGGAACTGCTCTCCATTCCTAGATGAGTGCACCATACATTTTGTAATGGTCACTGGCCATGGCTGCCTCAGATGAACATGATGACTAAGTCCTTCCTGACCATTTTCAGTGGAGAAAAATCATATAAATGGTATCCAAGGAAGTCTCTGCATACGCTCCTGATCCAAAAAGTAGAGGCGGGCACCGTCCTGACAAACGGTGCCTGCCTCAGCACAGAGCAGGGTGTTTCCATAAGAATCTCTGACTAGTCAAATTTCCACCAAGAACAGTTAGATCCGAAGACGCTCTCATGGACATGTAAGGCTGAAGAAACATCATTAGCAAGAGCTAATGCTGACTGACTGAAGCCAATCAAGCAGAACCAAATTCTACTCATAGAAAATGTTTAGGTTTTCTAAGAGATTAAAGTGAATGGATTTAAAACAGAGATTGCAAACAAATTTCACAACAACAAAACTTACTTCTTTATTCGACTTGTATACAAGAAAAACGTATGCATTACTGTGTATAGAGCCATCAAGCTAACATGCCTAGTCAATACGCCAGAGGCCAATATGACACAGCACGATGTTGTTTATTCCACACGGTACTTACGATGGACAGTAAACATGCTTCCCTTTCTTCTTTCCTTTCTTTGCTCCTTTTTCTTTGGCAAATCCTCCGTCTAAGCAAAGAAAGAGAACTAGGAGAATAATGGCGACCTTCCTTGTGCCCATTCTGAACCTGTGTAAAAGAAAAATAATAATAATAAAAATTGTGAATAAAATGACCATATAAAATAAAAATGGAGGGACAAGAACAAAAGAAATGATTTGAAATTGTGAATCCAATGATTTTTTTTTCACATTCCACAAATTCAGCTGTTATGTGACAGTAATTCTATGGCTTCCTTGTTGGCTAGAGCTTAAAGCTTCAGAGCTTGTTGTTTCCTGAACACTGCAACTTTGCCCCTTACTCTTTTTAACATCATCGATTCATATTTCCTCTAGATGCATGTCACATACAGTAAATGTCTGAAATACAGATGAATCAGTCTGACAAGGTTTAATAAAGCAGAGCAAGTTCAAGCATAAATTCAATCACTGAAGCATTGCACCTGAATAACAATGGTCATTGAGGACTCGTCAGCTGAATGTGACCTTTAAAGGATAGCTGAAATAAATATCGCCTACAATATCCTTCAGTTTAGTCCAGAACTTACATCAAAAAGGCTCAATAGGACTTTTTTCTAAATGTATTTTTTAGATTTCAACAATCATGTTTAGATTTCTAACCCTTGGAGTGTTATGACCAACACTCCCTATTGGTCAGTCATTTCTTACAACATAATACTAAAGTGAAGGCAACTAACAGATAATATGGTCCTGTGTATTTACAGTAACAAAACTATACAAATGCACACTTACACAAACACACAGAGCATTTTTGCATTTCTTGATAGAGGCCATTAATCATCTTGCAACCACAGTACCTGTGTGATTCATTGTCCATCTAGAAGTGTTGCCCTTTCATTGCATTGGGATACTGAGACCAACAGCAAGGCAGCAACACCAGCTTACAAACACACACTCATCCAAACATATATCTTGTGTATTAACTGAGGCCGTCTAGACAGAAATACTCTCTGTCTGTCTCTCTCTCCTTGTCTCACTGCCTTGACCCAGCAACTCCCTGTCTACTCCTTGCCTTCACATCGATCATCATCTTCCTCAACAGAAATCCTTTCCTGAGTGCACTGAGAACTGTACAGAGTGCAATGCCTTTTGGCTCCATGCAAACAAGTTGCCCAAACAAAGACAACATTGGTTTATCGATTTGGAAAATTCCTGAAAACCAGAGGGCTGGATACTACTCGCCTGGCCAGCATAATGTCAAAGCTAATCCACACGTCTCAGATGGCAACAGCTGGAGCAGTGTCAAATGTTGGACTTCACAACTCAACCACATTTCTGAGAAATAATTTCTTATGCAACCTACAAATTCTCTATGCAATCTTCCCTGTTAGAGCCAATCTATAGAGAAATAGACCGCTGACTACAGTAACAGATGATCCAACAGACCTGGAACCACTGACGCCTAAAAGCCGGGTTTGCCTCCTGGACTTTTCAGAAAGGAAGACTCATACTCCCGCCGCCGTTGGAAGCAAGTGCAATATCTTGCTGACTTGTTTTGGAAGAGGTGGGTGCGCGAGTATTTGCCTATGCTTCAAGAGCGTCAAAAGTGGACTCAGGTCAGAAGAAATGTAACTGTGGGGGACATTGTAATGGTGGTCGACGAGTCAGCGCCAAGAAGCTCGTGGATGTTGGGGAGAGTTCTTCGTGTATTCCAGACGCTAAGGGTCTGGTACGGCGTGTGATCATCAAGACAAAGACTAACGCCTTAGAAAGACCCATTGACAAGCTGTGCTTGATCTGTGAGAATGTCATGTAACTTGGAATGAGAAAATACAGTATATGTTCTGATCGGTTACAGGTTTTGTGAAAGATAATTTGAATGACCATGTGTGATACAGGAAGTGTTAATGTTATTTGGCTCTTTTGTAAGTGTTCGCTAATTGTCAGTCTTCATGCCCTCCAATTAGGGGGCTGGAAATGTTAGAGCCAATCTATAGAGAAATATTTTTGATACTGTTTCAGTTATTATGTTACATGTTTAATTTTGTATAATATGTTGTTAAAGAATAAATGCTGCACGTTTAATTTGTGTCGGGTAAGAAAACATTACAGCGCATGTGTGGTAGCAGGTTAGAGTGAGCCAGGACGGCAATGGAAATGTGCGCTGTAGCAGCAAATAGTTTTTTGACCGTGACATCTTTTGTTTGTATGTACGAGTCAGAAATAAATCTGAACAGCTCACATTAAGAAGTGGAAGAATTACTTTTTCGAAGCTTGGGACAGAAATTCGCCACTACATTCCCCTTTGCATTTCTGTAGGTGAAATCTCAGCTTCTTTCCACATTCTACCTGATAAGGAGAAGGATGAAGCAGAGGCATGTATACAACTAGTATGCATCGCACTGTAGCGAATAAAAGAGTCTGAATACCAAATAAGACATATTTGAAATTCTTGATAGTGCTGAACATTATCGCACTGGTTCATAATATTTGTTGGGATTGTGAAAGCTTAATCCTTATGCATGTGTCTTCTTATCATAGTTGCATTATTTTGTCTTCTTTTGAAGCGTGCACCTATACAACTTGAAGAGAGAAGTTAGTGATCTGCTATTGTCAAAATATATCTATTTTGACATCTCTTTTGGGTCCCAGTCCCAAAGTGGAGCTCAGAGAAGCCAGTCGATATATAATTGTGTACAATCAAAATTAAAAAACAAAACAAAACCCTCAATCACGCGTCCACCCAACTGATATTAAAGCATAAATATGAGTTCAGCTGAAACTATAACTCGACCTTGGCACTGTCTGACTCATCTGTGTGCCACCACTGAAGAACATTGCCCTAGCTCTGTTTTACTAGGGGCAAAGTTAAAACGGCAGAGGCTTTGTCATGCAACGGCTGACAGTGACTCAAGCGGGCTACATGGTTTGCCCTACGGGTCATGGGATAATAAACAATTAAAGCCAATCTGCCACTAGAGCACAGTGTCTTTTTTTTTTTTAAGATTCTGGACATTAAACAAAACACCTAAAATTATTTCTGCCGGGAAGAGGGTTTACATTTAGGTAAATAAACGAATACTTATTTATTATATTAATGTTGATGATATAACAGTCCGGCCATGTCATTTGGTGGAACTGAGATATGTATATAAGTATAGGTCATATTCCTGGTAATATCACCACTTAAAACTAGATTATTTATTACTGCTTAATCCAATAATCCACGAGGAAAGGCCTCAGATGTATTCAAGAAAAATACTGAAATGGAACCAAAGAAAAATAAATCCGCACACTGCCGGTGCTCTCACAACCTGTGGCTGCACGTCGCATTCGGTCTCTTTCTAACAACAGAAAAGTAAGTAAGAGAGGCTGACACTCGCCCGAAGCCTGAGCATCATAAGAGCAGAGGATACAGCGACCACCATGACGGGGGTGGGTGGGGGATGCAGAAAGAAGATGCCAACACATATGAACACGAGCATGCGATTTCACTACATGCGAGCGCACGCTATGAACATAAATAACACAAAGTCATCTCTCGCGAAACACGGTACGCAGTTCTGCTTACCGTTTGGCTTTGTCACCTGTCAATTCCTCAGAAATCTCGATCCACTCAAGCTGACTGTGAAAACAGTGGTTAACAGAGCTTCCACGACCATTCGCTCCCTTTCTTTTCCATTCTGCTTCCGTCTTCCTGCACTGAAGCGATTAGTTCAATTGGTTTGAGGGGAAAAGTTACATCTCGGCAAATTGCCAATTTTTTTTTTTTGTTGTTGTTTTGGTTTCCGAGCCCGTTTGTTGTTATTTTTAAATCAACGTGTATATGGCTGCTGCCCTTTCGCCTTAGCTTGGGATGCCCAAGATGGAGGCTTGCGTGTACCTGTCATGCAACATGCGCAGTAGCGGCTGCACAGAACTGGAGAGCATCATTCCCATCAGCACCACGGACAGCCGCTCCCCGCCTCCACATCCACAGCCGCTGCTAGACGGAGACGTGACGTGACGGCAGGAAATAAAAGCTCTCTTTCACGGGATAGACGCAAACGCATCACTACTTATGGCTGGGACTGAGTGGTATTTAGCAGCAGATGGATGAAAATAGAGAGCGCTTTATTAGAAATTATGAATCCAATAAGATACTCAAGCTTCTATTTCTATGTATTATGTAGTAATAGACTGTGTGGTAACCATGTGCCGTAGTATGACCTAGACTATTTTAGATGTGAGATAAAAAGCTGATTTTTTGTATATGTGAAAATGTGACTCATTAAATCAGTGACAAAGAAGATAAAACAATATAGTCTGTGTTTCTATCATCCAGATAAAAATGATGACTGCTTTAATTGCATAATGCAGAAGTCTCAAACATATTTTAGTTTGTAGGACACAGAGCAATCTGATCTCACGTATTTTGGTGTAAAGAATCACAAACTCATTCTGAAGATGTTCATATTTCATAAACATTTACATTCCCTGCTTCCACATCCTCAGCTGCTGCTAATGTACACAACAGACGCCATACAGCCTTATATATTTTGAGTAAAATTTTCATTATTTCCACATTAAGGCAGCCCACTGTCGATGCAAAAAGTATCACCACAATGAAATGCATTGGCACAGCTTCTTGGCTTAACCATCTTTGGTGTGATATAGCAGACCACTGGTGATGTCAAGACGTCAGAGTTGAATGTAATTCAGAACTCTGGCTCAGTGTTGACAGAAAATCTTATGACTTTTGGTCTCAGTGTCCCCGTGCAATGAAAGGGCCTTTTTTGTGCGTGTGTGCGCCTGTGTGTGTGCCTTCAACAACTGTACTGTACTGCGAAACATCTTGAGCCACCCCTCATCTCTTTATATTTTTGGGGAAAATGGGAAATTGATGCAGCAATTTATTGAAACATGTGCAATCACACATGGAAATACAGCACAGAAGGCAAAAACAGAGTTTGTGCAAATTTAACAAGCTCGAAAGTAAATATTTGGTATGACCACTTTTATTCTTCAACACAACCTATACTCTGTTAGGAAGGCTCCCTTGTAATTTCTTTCATTTGTCTTTGGGAATAGTTTTCCAAGCTTCTTGAAGGACATTAAAAGCACTACTTATGATGTTGGCTGCCTTTTTTGGGGAAGGGGGTTCCATGCAGGTATGCTTTTACCGCACTAGCAGTATGTTTGGAATCTATGGATATGTTTGTGATAGGCTGTTAGTAATAAAGTGTGGTTCTGGTTCATCCTTCAAGTGAGGTGCATTTTCTTTGTTACACAAATGTTTCATAGGTCAGTGTTAAGTGGTTGAACAGAATAAATAAATACATAGATACATTAATCTTATGAAAATCCTCGGGTACAAGGACTAGACTGAAAATGACTGATAAGATGGTCAATGTCACAAAAAACTTTGGAAGACCTTGAAAACTATGGAGAACTATTACTTAAGACCACTTTAATAATTGCAAGTCTGACTCTTTGGAAGCAAAGTGTTAAAAAAATGGTTTCACGGCTCAAGACTTTTGCACAGTACTGTATGTATTTACACTTAGATCCACCACTGAACTACAAAAATGCTTTGTTTTTATACATGTCTTAGATTGTCACACAGTTTTCATTGGAAGATGGGGAAGGGAACTTAGAAAAATGGAAACTTGAACATCTGCGAGTTCATATTGGCTAAACTGTGTCTCCTAATGGGAGTGTGATGCACTATAAAGTTACTAAAAGCCCCAGAACAACTATTTAATGGACTTCTGGTTCTCAAATGTTGTTATATCTAAATTCAACAATTTGGATTTGCCTGCTACATCTGTGCTGTCAGCTTGTTTGTTAAAACACATTTAAGATTTATGGCAGGATGAAATGTCTTTTTCCTTTTGCTGTGGAGTAATTGCTGTTTATATCCAGATTGAACACCTGAAAAAATAAATGAAACGGAGAATGGGTATATTAATGAATGCAGATCTTAAATCATAACCATTGACTGTGACAGAGTCACCATTAATTTTTAAATTCAGTCAAAAAGCTATTGTACGTAAAGTCATTTTATGGATCATATATAAGACTTTTTACATGTTTTTTGTTGAGCTTTCCGCTGGTTGTAAATAAATATTAATCTAAAAATGTCTGATGGTACGGCCTTTTGTATATGTCTGTGAAAGAAAAATGCTTAGCGTGACTATAATATCCTCAACATCTAAAATCTAAGAATTTTCATTCCAAACACAAGTACTGTAAAGTATGTTTAGGCGGGTTACTGTACCTGCCAGTCACTTTAAGGATTTTATTTTTTTAAAGAATTTAATGAAAAGCAGAAAAAACTGAACACTGACAGTATAATGGCAGGGTGTTATTAAATGTTAAGGATTAAAACAATGAATAGTTGAGCCATAGTTTCCACGTTTAATTTTTATTTATTGAAATGGTTCATGTAAAGTTGTTGTTGACTATTGCAAAGAAATCTGTCTTTAAAAATAGGTTTTTGCCAGAGGTTTCTTCCTGTTAAAAGGGAGTTTTTTTCTTCCCACTGTCGCCAGAGTGCTTGCTCATAGGGGGTCAAATGATTGTTAGGTTCTCTTTGTAAGTATTATTGTAGGGCCTACCTTACAATATAAAGTCCCTTGAGGTGGTTGTGATTTGGCGCTATGTAAATAAAATTGAATTGAACTGAATTGAATAGGTCACAAAATAACTGATAATCTGGTGGATGATAAAGAGCGCTTCCTATTTACCTTTCATGTCTGCACAGATTTGAATGTTTTTCTAAGAAAAAACCCACATACATTAAGAGGGAAGGTAACAGTAAGTTTGATTTTTTTTGTTGTTGTTGTTGTTCTTTAAATAGAAAAAAAGAAAAATCCACTGAGCTGATTTTCCCCACAGTTTTGAGCCATATCTCATGCATCATTGTGTCAAACAACTTGTGCGGTCTCCCCAAAGATGATCCCCGTGGTATGATCTTGATTGACAAGGCATTCCATTTGCATACACAAATTAATCAGTACCATATGCATAGAGATTAATGATTTATGTCACAGGGCAAAGCTCTGGTGTTACAATAAAGAGGCAGCCATTCAAGCACAAGGATTCTTCTGTGTTGTTTAGAAAAATGTTCGCTAGCCAGCTGGCTATGAGCCACGAGTGTGATGGACAATCCTATGCCATTCCAGAAATATGTCAGGCTGGATTGAAACAATCTACTGTGGTATAATACAACCTGGCATGAAAACCACATTTCTGCTACCACTGCAGCCCTGAAGAGTTATATGTGTTGTCACATCAAAAAGGAGTTTTTGACAGATCAAGAGACAAAGAAGTGTTACTACTAAGCAGCTTTATTTGTTTATTTATTTACTGTGTGCTGCTTAGTAACATGTTTGTTTTCATCTCAGAAGGATGGATCATTCTTTAACTAAACCCAGAGTAGCTTTGCTGACAGCACTTTAATTCAATGATGATGTAAATTTTTTGGAAGACGAACGGGTACATGTCATAGGAGCTGAGATAAGAGCAGTGAAAATGAATAAAAACTTCATGTAAATCATGAAGGATGGAGATAAAACAATATTTATTGCAAAATACAATACATCAGTTTCTGAAGAACATGTGATCTTTCTATTAAGGTGACTGCTGTCAAAATTACAGCTACAGACATTTTCCTATTTTACTATGTACAAGTAAAATATATTTCAAACTATATGAAGGTCTGCAACATGTTCATTAGTACATTCAAAAGGTAGTACACTGACACATACGAGGATTAGTATCTTCCAACTTCCAGTTCCTGGTTTATTGATTAAAGTCTTTTCTCTCTGCATGTCTGGCCTGTACACATATATGATCTTGTCAGTATCTATTTTACATTCAAGCAGCATGCTCATACGTCAGTAAAACAATAGATAAGGAGAGAAAATTCATCATTACACTGTCCTGGATTCCAGTTCAGTAATGTATTGATGAACTTTGGCAGTGTAATATGAGATCCTTGGATCATTAAATAAGCAGAATGCTATCATGGAAACTGAGTCTTCCTTGTCAGCAGTGCTACAGTATCCAAAATTATGATGGAGGCATCGAGCCAGAAATCTGTTAAGAAGGAGAGTTCCTTTCAAATATGTTTGGATCACTTTCCTGAATAAGGATTGTGTAAGAGGGGAAATCCTGAAGGACAAAAAGCTCTTTCCAAACTGAAATGTCTAACATAACTAAACGGTTACAGTGAATCAAGATTTTTAATTTTTAATTTTTTTAGCGATTCTGTTTTAGTTGATTCCAGCAAGATTAACAGCAAGATTATTTTTTTTTAGGTTTTCAATGCATGTGTTCTCAAAGTAAAAATCTCGTAGATATCCAGCCAGGTGTTCATCCCAGCTGCACTACCACACTGCAGACATTCATTCTTTCTCATTTTCAGGGCATCAAGCAGCAATAACAAATGTAGTCAGACAGCATTATTAAACTTATAATTGGATTTAAACTGAATTATATTCAGGTTTTGCTGTGGAGTGAACTCAGCTAAGCGATTATATTGGACAGCAGTGTATTTGATTTTGTGTAATTTATGCACAACTGAAGCCAAACTGAAGTCATGCACTTCAATACTTTTTGAATGAATGAATATACTGTATGTACAATATTACTGATGATCAGTTTACCACTTAAGCATATATTTATTTCTACTACAGCACGCTTTAGAAGAAGCAACATTGTGTCCCTGAACACCTGAACATGATAAGCACATCTGATTCGTTTTAACCTGGAAATATCTTGAATCATCAGATAAAATATGCTTCCCCTGGTGGAATAAAAATAAACAAATTCCACACCCCTTGCAGTATCTTTAGGAATTTCAAGGGGCAAACATTGCCTGTAGCTCTGAGGGGCACCACCAGGGGGCTCTGGTCTCAAAGCCAAGTACAGCCAGGGGCAATTATTGAAACTTTTCACTTATCAACATGAGACCTTAATGTCCATAAAACACCAGAATGTCTCTGATA